CTCACCTACCTTTTCTTATCCTTACTCTTGTCTTCCTACAACCTTGTCGCTTTACCATACTTTTGGCTTGTGACCTACACATATCTATTTATACTACTTGCAACTTTCCTCCAACTTGCTTGCCCCATAGATTTCTTTATGTTATTCTGGAACATCAGGCAAGACATCAGATCGTCTCTAACTCTTCTTTATTCTCTTAACTAGACCTCTCAGTACCTAGAAACCATAGGCCGGAAGACATGCCACTGACGACACCGCTATCATTCCTGAATACTGAATCTCAGCGCTTCTAGACTTCTATCCGAAATATGGATTATTTCGTACGTTTGTCACACCTCCTTTTTACCACCCAAGGGATGATAGGAAAGAAAAGGAGTTTTTTCAATTTAAGTGACATTATTTGAAAAGGGATTAATTTATTTTAATTCAAAGAGTCGCCACTTGGAATTGAGTTTTGGTGTCCCAAGTCACCATTTATTTTAAAATCCCAATTCAAGGAAATTGACTCTGATTAAGTCTGCGAAACACAGAAGACCGAGTAAGGAATTCTGTTAACCCAGGAGAAGGTGTTAGGCACTCCCGAGTTCCATGGTTTTAGCACGGTCGCTTAAAAATTTATACTTGGCTTAAATTATTTAATTACGTGTTTTTAAACCTATGTGCATTTATCCTTTTTAACGCTTTTAATTGCTTGAATTATTCATAATTAAAGAATTGAGTTACGCGTATGTATACTCTTTTCTTTTTGGTGCGTCAAAATCATGTCACACGAACGTGTCCACGATTAATAACGCTTTTGTTGATTTATTAAGAAAGTTTGGTTGAAGTTGCGCGAACGCATCCTTCGAATCCAGTGGTTCTATCACGGTCGCTTTTTATTGCTTATGGCTTGTCTGTTACCACTTCACTTAATTTCTTATATTTTTTATTAATTATTTTTGACCTAGATGCGGTACGCACACGAGGTACTTCTTTGAAATTAAATGTTAACACAATTATTTTTAATTTAATGGTGTCAAGACGCAGAATGCGCACATGATCCCTTTATTATTTAAGCATATCAATCCAAGGTTCGGTTATGAACACATGGGCTAATAGCGTATTTAAAATATTTAATTATTTTATCTCTTTAGATCCGAGATATTTATTTATGTGCTTTTTCTGTTACTTATCGCAATGAGTCTTGAGTTAATTCGTAACTCATCTCGCACCCTCACAATTATTTATTATCTCTCTAATTATTTATTTCTCACAAAGGTTTTAGGAATCAATATGCATCCCGCATCGCTCCCTCAGTTTTCATTATGTGTAAAAGATATACTAGACTTAATATAAATCTTTAAACATGGCATTGATTTTGATATATAATAAAAAACCAACTTATTAATGTTAGATGCAAGTAATATATCAAATGAATATGCTCTGGAATTAAACAACTAAAAAAAAATTATTTTTAACCTTTAACTTAAACAATTTACCAATTGTAAATTATAAAATAAAACAAATAATGATGAAAATTATTCTCCAGCTTGTCTTCAAATGAACATTTAGAAGTCAAATGAAGAAAAAAAAATCAACGTAAAGCTTTTCACAAAATCTAAGGAAAATTTCTTAAGATACCTCAATGACGTTATTTGAAATTTTAACATCAAATTTATCCTAATAACTAATTCAAATATCATTTTAGCACTAGTACATGAACTTTCAAACAAATACATAATTAATTACCTAAGAATCTATAATGAGACTAATGAAACTTTTTGACATGCATCTTTACTTAAAAATAAAAGAAGAAAAAGAAAAATGGACAACCTACTAGTTGGTGTAGCCAATTTATTATAAAACTTAAAGTTACTGATTCTAACTACTTAGAAGGAAACAAAATTCGGCAACCCAAATAATAGAATAAACCATGAAAATTTTTTAACAACGATATTTCAATATCCAAAATGAACCAAATTCTGAAGTGTCAAACAGATGTAAAACAACGTTAATGAGAAAATCATAAACACACTTCATACATAATAATAAAAGAAAAAAAAAACTTAGAAGATTTCCTTCTCTTAAAATATTTCAAACAACACAGAATTCATGCATCTCTAAATAACTTTTCAAAATGCAAAACTAGAACTTAAAATAAGTAAAAGATGAATAGATAATATAGAAGAGAACCTGTAGAGCAAAGCTTTTTCAATATGTAAGAGAGAAATCTCAGAATAATTTTGCAGTGACGAAATCCAAGCGACAAACAGAAGCGAGAGGAGATAGTAACCCCGACCAAGACTAAAACCTTAGAGCAAAACCGGAACCCGAACGATAAACTGAACGTCGACTAAAATTTAGAACTCTATTTCAACTCCATCCTCTCCTCTTTAAATTTCTTTCCTTTCTCCCTTTTTTTTTGTCCGCTCTCCCCCCTACCTGTGATCTTGTTTTATNAATCAACCCGAGGCCCTCGGGACCTCTACCAAATGTACCAACAAGTCACATATCAACATACGAACTTAGTCGAACCTTCGGAATGCTCAAAACAACGTCAAAATGCCAAATTACCCTCGGATTCAAGTCTAAGAACTTCTAAACTTTCAAATTCCGCAAACGATGCCGAAACATACCAAACCTCGTCCGAATGACCTGAAATTTTGCACACACATCACAAATGACACTACGAACCTAGTCCAACTTACGGAATTCCATTCCGACCCCGATATCAAAATTTCCACTGCCGACCGAAAATCGACAAATTTTGAATTTCGCCAATTCAAGCCTTATTCTACTACGGACCTCCAAATCACATCCCGGACGCGCTCCCAAGTCCAAAATCACCTAACAGAGCTGACCAAACCATCAGAATTCACATCCGAGATCGTTTACACATAAGTCAATATCCGGTTGACTTTTCCAACTTAAGCTTCCAAATAGGAGACTAAGGGTCTCATTTCACACCGAAACCACTCCGGATCCGAACCAACCAACATGATACGATGAAATACAGCTGAGGAACACATAAAGAAGCAGAAATGAAAAAAACGGGGCTATAATTCACGAAACGACCGGCCGTGTCGTTACATGCATGCACTTAAAAGTTCATTATATCAAAGGACCTTAACAATTATATAATATAACGTTGTATACGTTATTTGCACAATACAATTGTTCGACCATAGAAGAATTCAATTGAAGTCTCGTAGCACCATGCGCCCCTTAGCTACAGTGATCTCAGGGGAGGACCACAGTGGCACCGCTACTAACTATGATGGTCAATTCATAGACTCACTAATGGAATTTATGATGTCGGTTGAATCTCTTTAGTCGAAAAATTATATTATACAAATAAGGTAAATATAATTTTTTTTGTGTATAGAGAAATCGTTAAATCCCTTTGATATAAGGAATTTTTTTAATGCTTGTCATGATCCGGGTGTACGGCGCGTAGCATTCCCTAATCCGATGAATTTTGTCAATTATATTCGTCAGATTGATGTTTTTCATTTATTGTCATCAAATGATGCTGTATGAACAATAATATCAATTAATCAAAGCAAATTCTCAAGGTCATTATTCTGATAATGACTTTGGAACTGATATGAAGATTTATGACAATATATGCGAAAGATGACTTCAGCAAGATTGGGACTCGTATTCAGTTCTGCCAAAAGAATGTAGCTCGAGTAGATAATGCCAAATGTATAATTAAGCGATTGTCGTACCTTTCGCTCGTATTATTCGAATTTGGTTTATTGTATAGCAATTAAAAACTTGAAATTCATGGTCTTGCAATGATCACAATAAGAAAATAAATCCGATATCTACTGGAGTTTCAAAATTGTCACTAATACTTTCTTGTGTAATTCTATCAAATACAAAGTTCTAAAAGAAAACGAAAAAACAAAAATAACTTATCTTTAACTGATTTGGAAAAGATCAATTACAGTTTTATCAGACGGTTTAGACGTTTATACAATTGCGTAGCCAAATGCGGTGTTCAATTTGTACACCATCAACGGATAACCAAAGCTTAAATTCATAGACAAATTTCATAATCCAAAGCTTTTAGGTTATCTTTAATAATGTATATTTACATTTTTGCACAAAAAACTTCTTGAAATAATGCTTGCTTAAAGGGCATAATAGTCGTTTAGCTTTTGATGGATATTTTGGTCTTTTAACTCATCACTTTGACTTATAGTATAGTATGATTTATTGACAAAGGTGTTAGAAAAATCTAGAAGCTAAGAATAGGGAGAATCGAAATTGAGAAATGAAATCTCATTAACATTCTTTTCTTTAATGTACAACAGTGTGTATTTATACACTGTAGCCTCTAACTGTCTTAACTAACCGACTCAATACAAATGTCACGTGAGTCACATGACTTCAATACCCCCCCCCCCAAGTTGGATGGTGGTACACATCTAACACCCCTAGCTTGGATAACAGATAATGGTGTTGTCCTGCACCCAGCCCTTTTGTAAAAAGATCAGCTAGTTGATGTTTGCTTCCCAAATATTCTGGTTGAATAAGTCCTTTCTGATCTTCTCCCTAATGAAATGGCAGTCAATCTCGATATGTTTCGTACTCTCATGATATATTGGATTAGCTGCAATTTGCATTGCTGCTTTACTATCACTGAACAATTTTACTGGTATTGTTATGTCAACACTCAATTCTTTCAAAAGACCTTCTAGCCAAACTACTTCAGCTACTGCTGCTGCCATACTTCTGTATTCAGCTTCAGCTGAACTTCTGCTTATGGTTTGTTATTTCTTGGATTTCCAGGATATCAAAGACTCCCCTAACTTGATTGCATAGCCTGTTACTGATCTCCTTGTATTTGGACAAGTAACCCAGTCCGAATCACAGAAGGCTGCTAACTTCCCTATGTCAGTTCCCCTTTTTAAGGGTACACCTTGTCCAGGTGACCTTTTAATGTACCTTACCAATCTCAAAGCTGCATTCTAATGTGATAGCTTTGGTTGCTGCATGAATTGGCTCAGTACTTATACTGCAAAACTGATGTCTGGTCTGGTGATAGTCAAATATAGCAACTTGCCCACTAATTTTTGATAACTTCCAGCATCTGTCAACTTCTCATCATCAGACTTCCCAACATGAGTATCATACTCAATAGATGTAAGTTTAAGGTTGACCTCTAGTGGTGTAGTAACAGGTTTGGACCCACTCAAGCCGATGTATTCAAGTAATTCTAAAGCATATTTTCTCTGATTAAGCAGAATCCCACACTTAGACCTTAAAACTTCAATCCCCATGAAGAATCTCAACTTTTCTAGATCCTTCACTTTAAACCTGTTATGAAGGGTGTCTTTAGCTTCATCAATCATCTTCTTGTTGCTCCCTGTGATGAGAATATCATCTACATACACTAAGATTATGACTATATCATCTCCATCTCCCTTTGTGAATAGAGAGTGATCATAAGAACTCTGCTTATAGCCTGCTTCTACTAAGGCATCAGTGGCTTGATGTTCCATTGTCGCGAATCTTGTTTTAAGACATAGAGTGACTTAAGTAACTTGCATACCTTATGCTCCCCCTATCTGTGAAAACCTTGAGGCAAATCCATGTATACTTCTTCAAATAAATCTCCTTGTAGGAAAGCATTATTGACATCCATTTGTGAAAGATCCCAATCTCTTAAGGTTGCAATAGCTATCACTGTTCTCACTGTTACCATCTTGGCAACTGATGAGAATGTTTCATGATAGTCCAAACCTTCTTGTTGTGTGTACCCTTTTGCCATTAACCTGGCCTTGTACTTGTCTATTTATCTGTTATCTTTGTACTTGACTTTATATACCTATTTATATCCCACAGCTTGTTTGCCTACTGGGAGATCAACAATTTCCCAGGTGTGGTTGTCCTCCAAGGCAGTTATTTTCTGCCTCATGGCTTCTATCCACTTCTCATCCTGAGATGCCTCCTTAAATTTTCTTGGTTCTGCAACAGTTGAGACAAGACCAATATAGGATTGATAGGAGTCAGGTAGATGATCATAAGATATATGAGCATTAATAGGATACTGACAGAAGGCTGAAGTTTTCTTCCTAGTAACATAGTCCTTCAGCCATGTAGGAGGCTTAGAGACTCTACTAGGTCTACCCCTGTTTGGTTCTTGGCTATCATATTGATCCCCTGCAGCTAACTCTTCAAGTTGATCACCTGCATTTTTGTCAACAGCCTGCTCACCTACATCTTGTTCATTTGTGACCAGCTGTTGTTGGCTCATCTCAGCTGGTATGCTAGAATCTGAGATGTTATCAGTTCTATTGGGACTGATATTTGCCTCAGAGTTGGTCAGGTTTTCCTTTACATCTGTTGTATTCTCCAAATGTGTTCCTTCTGAAGAAGTGTTAGACACAATATCTTGGTCATCATCTGAGTTGGTAATATGAGGCCTTGCTTCTGGTGCAGGAGTTGGATCCAGCAGGAATGAATCACCATCTTCATTGTCTCCATAGTTCCTTTCCTTGAAAGGAAAAATAGTTTCCCTGAAGGAAACATCTCCGCTCACCAAGAAAGACTTAGATTCTAGGTCATACAACCTATACCCCTTTTGTGTTTCTGAATATCCCATAAACATTGTTCTCTTAGCTCTTGCAGCAAATTTATTTTCCCTTGTTAAAATACTGGCAGAGCACAAACACCCAAACACCCTCAAATGTTCCAGTTTTGGTGCTCTGCCATGAAGTATTTCATAAGGTGACTTGCCTTTAAGGACTGCAGTTGGGAGCTTATTAATTAGGTAAACTGCAGTTCTAATACACTCTCCCCAAAATCTAATTGGAATTGAACTCTGAATTTTTAAGGCTCTTGCAACCTCCAAGATATCTACAATAAAATTTTGTCGTGGAGTGTATGGGAAACTACTTTGATGAATTATTCCAAGATTAGAAAATAAAGCACCTCATTTAAAATTGAAGAATTATGTACCATTATCATATCTCAATACTTTAATATTCATATCAAATTGGTTCTTTATCATTGAAAAAAATTTAGTCAACACAACTATCACTTTACTTTTAGACTAAATCAAACATACCCATGTATATCTACTATAGTCATCAACAATTGTGATAAAGTAATATTTCCTATCATATGTAGGCTGCTTATAAGGGCCCCAAACATCTAGGTGTACAAGCTCAAAACTATAGTCTGTTTTACTTGTGTTGTCTCGGAATGTTGTCCTGTGTTGCTTTGCCATTGGATATATTTGACACTCCTGTTGAGCATGTTCATCTGCCAAACCTTTCAAGATGGGAATGTGATGTATTGCCTTCATTGAGGGATGTCCTAACCTTGAATGCCATAATTTTGTGTTGTAATTTCCTTTTATCACTGTTGTTGTTGCTAATGGTTTTATTGTTTCTCTAAGAATATAAAGACCATATGTTTCTCTACCAATCCCTATCACCTTGCAACTGTAAAGACACTGTAAAAGACAAAAGTGAGGGAAAAAATTAATAGTGCAAACAAGGTCCTTGGTCAGTTTTGACACTAAAAGTAGATTAAACTTGAAGTCTAGAACATGTAGAACATCTTTTATTCTCTGTCCCTCCAGGATTATTGCACTTCCTATATATGCTATTTGTGACTTGTTTCCAGTTGGTACCTGTACTTATCTACCTACCTGACTTCCTAGTATCGACTAGTTTCTCCTTGCAAGATGTGATATGATGAAAGGCCCCTGAGTCAATGATCCATTCAAAAAGACAATCACTCGATAACATGGAAACAATACCTGCCATGTTGACTTTGCAATCACCAGTTGAAGATTTATTTAGCAAGTCTACAAGCTGCTTATACTCCTCCTTTGTAATAATGGCCTTGAGACTAGCTCTAAGTAGAACTGTGTCCCTCAGCAGAATTAGGGGTGTCAAATGGGCGGGTTGGGTTAATTTTGGGCGGGTCAAAATGGGTTGAGTCAATAATTGGGCGGGTCAAATGACTCGCCCAAAAGTTACTTGGGCTAAGATGGGTTGGGTCAAGATGGGTTAAAATTCGGGTCATAACCCAACCCGCCCAACTCTTATTAAACTTTAATTAATATGTGTTATTTTCTTATAAATTGTATAATTACTAAATAAGGCTTTTTTGCTTTTGTTATGGTCATATTTAAAATATTAAACAAAAAATAAAATTATTTCTAAGATATTTTGACAAACTTACTCATGGATCAATTTGGGCTAAAATCTAGCCCAACCTTAAATGGGTTGAGATGGGTTGGGTCAAGATGGGCTAAATTCAATAAATGGGCGAGTCAGTAATCAACCCAACCTTGGGCGGGTTGGGCGGGTCATTTGGGCTTGGGCCAAATTTGACAGCCCTAAGCAGAATTATTTCCTTCAACTGTTGTATTACTTGCATAAGTTTTGAAGCCACCAGCACCCTTCTCCTGCATTGGCTTTCTTTTACTTTTGAAATCAGGTGGATATCCCACAATTTTGTAGCAATTCTCTTTTTGATGCCCTTTATACCCACAGTGTTCGCAGACTACATCAAACCTTTTGCCTTTCATCATTTGTCCCCTGCCAGCTAACATGGTCAATGGCTCCTTATTCATGTCCATTTCACCAAGAGCCCTTTGGCTTTCTTCTTAAATCACTAAGGCATATGCTTCATTTACTGATAACACAGGGGGGTTTTAACAAAATTTGACTGCGTACATGAGCATAAGTCTCATTTAATCCTACTAGAAATTGTACCCGACGTTGCTAATAAAACATTTCGAAAAATGGTTCCGATTCCTTATAATTACTTCCTTTACCTGGTATTAAAGTGTCTTGTTCATCCCACAAATCTTTCATTTTAGTAAAGTATGTGGTAACAGAAATAGTACATTGAGTTAGGGTTCCGATTTGAGTCCATAGGTGATAGAATCTAGTCAAATTAGATTTTCCAAACCTTTACTTGAACTCAGCCCAGGCCTTCGCTGCATTTGACGCATAGATGATGCTCGCAACAGCTGCTGCGAGACACATCTCCCAATCTATGAGAGAACTACAACATTACATTGCTCCCACAGATCTACTAATTCTCCTTTGTATAAACTCTTCACACATGTTCTTCTACAAAACCTAGCTTGTTCTTTCCCAATAAAGCCAAACGCATCGATCTACTCCATAATCCGTAATTTTCAGGACCTGTTAGCTTGATATCTATTAGAATTGCTCCAGGCGTATCGGATGGTTAAAGATAGAGCGGATGACGATGGTGAATTTGAGGTTTTGAGGTGTCTCCCATGGCGGACTACTCTAGTTCTGGTAATGGCGAACTAGGTAGTTGAAGAAGAAGAATCAGATTCAGAGCCCTAATCGCTGCTCTAATACCATGTTAGAAGAATCTAGAAGCTAAGAATAGAGAGAATCAAAATTGAGAAATGAAATCTCATTAACATTCTGTTCTTCAATGTACAACAGTGTGTATTTATACATTGTAGCCTCTAACTGTCTTAACTAATCGACTCAATACAAAGGTTACGTGAGTCACGTAACTTCAATAAAAGCAGTATCCTGCGACACCACTAGGAGAAACGTATCACCAGCCTATTAATAAGAGTTTAGACAAAAGCCATTTAATTGCTGAACAACTACAATCTGGCACGTATAGGATATATTTACTTATTTAGTGCTAGTGAAAAAACTCCTTTTTAAGGATATGAACGCTGGGTGAAGAAAATGACCAGAGTTAGATCATAGCGTAATCAAATTCACGGGCCTTTCCTAATGGCGAAATACATAAACAGCCCCTTCAAGTTGTCCACAACGGTCAGTTGAACACCTCAATTGAGACCATTTCCAGTTAAACACCCTAAGTGGCTATTAAGTAGGTCAAGTAAACACCTGAGTACAGCATGCCATATGTGTGAGTTGCACTTGCCGATGACATGGCAAATGAACCAATCAAAAAATGACACGTGTAATTTTGTCATAAGAATTTGACACATGTAATTAAAAAAACATTTAAAAAAGAAAAAAATTCTTCTCCTAAACCACGTTCCTCCTCCCCCTAAGAACACTGGATTTCATCTCCAACTCAAACCACCATTATTACACACCAACGAAAATACACAGAAACCTCACCTTAAATTGCCAATTCTTATACTACCACTCAATAAAATTACAAATCAAGTAGGACCTTCGACTCCACCATTAGATCTCAACTGGGAAAAATTTCCAATATGTTTCGCCCACTTCCTTTCTCCCTTTAATCGAAGCAAAAGTGAAAGGGAAACATTGAAGATGGAGGAAACATTCATTTCCGCACTCGCACATGGATGGCTCTTTCTTCCGCCATAGTTGCACTTCAAAGCACAACAAAAGAATTTGAGACGATAAAAGGAGATGTTGGTCGATGATTAGGGAGGAGATACGGTGGAGCTTGTGCGGCGCTTAAGGTTCTTGGCAAAAATGAAGGAATTTCATTAGTGTTTGGATTTGAGTATTTGGTGGAGAAATGTTGATATGGAGGCGTAGATTACAGTGACCGGAAGGATTAACTCAAGGTGGTTTTATGGTGGTTTTGGGATAGCTTCGTTGCCGGAGATCCAGCCGGCTTCTGTTGGAAAGAAGAAGGTTTAATTTCTGTTTTTATAATAAGAGTATTTGTTTCTAAAAACCTACATGTCATTTAAAGAATTGGTTTGCTTTGGGTTTTCTTGTTTTTCATCTATGGTGAAATTTTTTTTTTTTTTGAAGAAGGGGAAGTAAAGATGAAGGTATGTGGGTCCACAAAAATAAAGGTTATTTTTTAAACTGAAAAGAAAAAGAAAAGAGCAGAACAGAATTTATGTCCTCACGCGCTCAATTTGTAGTGAGACACAATTGATTTGCCATATCAGCGCAAAGTGTTTACTTGATATACTGTGTAAGTACTTGAAGTGTTTAACTGGAAATAGTCTCAATTGAGGTGTTCAACTGATCGTTGTGGACAACTTGAAGGGGCTGTCTATGTATTTCGCCTTTCCTAATACTGCTAATAGTGCCATCAACCTATATGGACTATCTGGAGTACAGTAGGACACTGTGAGGGCCCATTTGATAATTGGTTATATTCTTTTATTACATCAAGAGACTGGACGAAAAAAAGGAAAGGAAGTATTACGCTATTAATTATTTAATTAAGTTTGAACTCTCCACTTTCATTGCGAACGTGATGGCTAATAATTTTTCTTCTTGGCTAATTTGCTACACGAGAAACCTAAAACCTCTCGTCAAACCTTCTTCAGCAACTAAATCACATATAAACAGAAATTAATTAGATCATAAACCGACAAGTTTAAGTTTTATGCATAAAAAGTATTACAAGAAACTCTTATTTAATATGTATTGCCTAACAACGAGTAAATGGTAAATTACCCCTAATAACATAGTATTAAATTATGTTGATAGTGTAAACTAGATGGAAGTGTTTGTTTTTTTTTTTTACTTTTTACTTTCTCCATTTACGCAACTCGCTCTAAGTACACTTTGACCTTGTGTAAAGCAATCATTTTATTCTCCATTTCTTGGCTATTATCTACTACAAAGCCGAAAAAAGAGCCAGAGCCGCCCTCTATCTTTCACGAGACTTACAGATTCAAACAATACAAAAACCGCATTGACCTCTCTCTCTCTCTTGGTTCAATATTATTGTTATATAATGCACATACACATCAACATCCTAATCAATCCATGCAAATTGTGTATCCAATTCTTTATGGTTTTACGCACTAAAAAAGTCACTGTCTACAGACTCTGCAAGGAACTTCCAAACAAACAAAAAGTTGTTATAGAAATTCGAAAACAAGAAAAAAGCCACTAAAAGTAGAAATCTTTCACGGACCCCATTTTCTCATCTTGCAGAATTTTATTGGAGAAGAGAAAGTGTTCAAGTGGGCAGATTCTTGTACTTGTATGGTAATAAAACAAGTCACAATTAATGATTTTTTCTTAGCATTTATCCATCACGGGTTACTACAAAACAATATTTGTTTTTTAATTACTACCACCCTAATTATGCAAGTTTCCTCTCTATAAAAAACCACCCTACTCTAACACTAAAATTTGCCTCTCTTTTCATATATTTCTTCTAGTGTGTGTGTATTCTCTTAGTTTTTTATAGAGAGGTCATGAAGAACAGAGGGATGGCCTTTTCATGTAATGGCAAAAATAGCCACTACTCTGTTTTCCTCTGTTTCTTCTACATTCTTGGCTTCATGTTTAGTCATTCTCTGTTAGAATTCAAGCCGGTTTTGGCTCAGAATTCGCCCGTTTTCGCTTGTGATATCACGAGCAATCCTGAACTGGCGAATTTAACATTCTGCGACGCGTCTTTGACGGTGGAAACAAGGGTGAGTGATCTGGTGCAGAGATTGACATTGTCTGAAAAGATTGGATTCTTAGTGAGTGGTGCAGGTGGTGTGAGTAGGCTCGGGATTCCACGCTACGAGTGGTGGTCTGAGGCATTACATGGAGTTTCATATACTGGTCCAGGAGTACATTTTTCTGGTTTGGTTCCTGGTGCTACTAGTTTCCCTCAAGTCATTCTAACTGCTGCTTCTTTCAATGTCACCTTGTTTGAAACCATTGGAAAGGTAATCTTAGATTCATTTGATTCCATTTCTTCAGCTTTTAATAGTTTTGTTGTTTAATATTTTATACAATCAAGTTAAATAAGAGATAATGATATGTGTGGATTAGTTATCCAAAAATAAGACAAATAAGTGGAGAGCACTCTCGACCAACCAAGAAGTTATGAGTTCGAGTCACCCCAAGAGCAAGGCGGGGAGTTCCAGGGATGTCGAGGGTCTATCGAAAACAGCCTCTCTACCCCAGGGTAGGGATAAGATCTGCATACACACTACCCTCCTCAGATCCCACTGGTGGGATTATACTGGGTTGTTGTTGTTGTCGGTATATATAACTTAAAATCTTTAGTTTCTTGATGACACTCAGGGGCGGATGCACATTGGTGCCGAAAAAAAATATTAAATGTGTTTACTAATATTCTGTAAAAATGAAGCAAGATATAGCAATGACATCGCTTCCTGGCAGAGAGTACTTCTTGGTCCGCTGGTCAAGCTCGTATTTGGGCTTGTAAAGGTCGTAGATTCGAATTTGAACCTAGATTTTCTATTTCTTGAAGATCTTTGAGCGAATATTTTTGTTAAAAATCTAAGGCTAAGGAGAATTGAACCTACACCTCCTTTGCAATAATATTCAACTAAACCATTGGGCAAAGGCTTTCTTGTGAAAAATGATATTAAATACTAATACTTATTTTTTATTTATTTATGTATGACACTGAGCTCCATCCTCCTTCCATATGTTTCTTTGTCTAGTATTTTTGTCCAAAGAGTTAGGAGAAATTTTTTAATCTGTATTTTCTTAAGGAGTTCAAATTCATTAGAATTCTGTTCGGATATTTTTGGAAAAAAAGGATGAAATTTCTTTTATGAATGTTGATAGAAAGTGAAGTTTAATTCTTGACGTACGTTGCCGACGCACCATTATTTTCAAAACCGCCTTTTTTTTGTTCTATTAAAGAGACCTTTGTCCAGTTTTATGGCTAATGCATGCTTAGGTTCCGTCTTATCTACGCTAAGTTGATTGCCACAAAAAAACATTATTATTATTATTATTATTTTACTTTGGAACTAAGGTAGCCTTTTTGGCTAAAGGAATCTTAATCAACAGAGCTAGTTTTTTTATTAATTAAACAGAAATAATGAAATGGCAAGTTTACATTATCTATGTATCTTAACATGTTGTATTAGGTAATATGTCTTATATTCTAGATTATTAGTCTACTTTTATTTACCTGTTTTATTTTTTAGGTGATCTGATAGTATAGATTTTTTTATATACTAGTATTTTATAAAAGTTAAACTTTATGCAAATGTATATATCAGAATGATTCCAGCTTGTAATGTGGTTTGCTTAGTCAGGTAATGCATGAAACAAACATTTCGGTTATTTATTAAACAGTTATGCCTGAATAGCCCATTCACCAAATGGTAATGACAGGGATACTAGTAGAAAAGCTACTACATTTAATTTTTATAAATTTTGTACAGCGGAATTTTCCTTTTCTCTATGTGAAATCAAACTCTTGATAGGAAATATGAGGCTTTAGTTTCATTTTCATGTACTTATTACTTAAATCTAATAGAAAGCAATTGCGAATCACATATCAAACAAATTAATTCTTAATTAGAAACGACCTTGAGTGTCAGGAGTGAATTCAATTGAACCCATCATTTTCGACGTAAACCATAGATGAATATGTGTGAGTAACTCTTAGAATCAGGGGGCGGAGCTAGAGTGTCTCGAGCGGATTCGGCCGAATCCAATAGCTTTGGTTCGAACTTTGTATTTGTCTTAATAAATTCATTGAATATATATAAATTATTAACTTAGAACCCAGTAGCTCAAAACGACTAAAATTCTGAACCCATAAACTTAAAATCCTAGCTCTGCCTTTGCTTAGAACACATCATTTTCGACGTACAAATTCAGAATTTTGAACAAAAAAGGGCAGCCCGGTCCCGCTATGCGCGAGGTCCGGGAAGGGCCGGACCACAAGGGTCTATTGTACTAGTCTTACCCTGCATTTCTAAACTCATGACCTCCTGGTCACATGCCAGCAACTTTACTAGTTATACCAAGGCTCCCCTTCAGAATTTTGAACAAATTACGATTAAATACTGGATCCGTCGCTGCTTGCAGGTGGTATCTACCGAGGCAAGGGCAATGTACAATGTTGGTTTAGCAGGATTGACATATTGGTCTCCCAATATCAATATTTTCCGCGACCCGAGATGGGGAAGAGGCCAAGAAACTCCAGGAGAAGATCCAACACTCACCAGCAAGTATGGTGCAGCCTATGTTAGAGGCTTGCAACAAACAGATGATGGTAGCAAAGATAAGCTCAAGGTTGCTGCTTGTTGTAAGCATTACACAGCTTATGATGTTGATAATTGGAAAGGAATCCAAAGATACAATTTCAATGCTGTGGTTAGTTCTCTATCCTTGTGATATTTCACTTAAAACATCTAGTCATTTTAGCCGTATCTTTTAATAAGATAGTTGCTTTGCTTCCTTTGTGAGTAGGTAACACAACAAGATATGGATGATACATTTCAACCCCCATTCAAGAATTGTGTTCTTGAAGGAAATGTCGCGAGTGTGATGTGTTCATATAACCAAGTTAATGGCAAGCCAACATGTGGTGATCCAGACCTTCTTGCTGGGATTATCAGAGGAGAATGGAATTTAAATGGGTATAATATTATGTTTTGTTCATTTTTTTGCTTTTCAAAAGAGTTAGAAGAATCTATACTACTTATACGAGTATGCTTAAAACAGATATATAGTTACGGATTGTGATTCATTGAATGAGATATTTAATTCTCAACACTACACCAAAACACCAGAGGAGACTGCAGCTTTGGGTCTAAATTCAGGTGAACTATTTTCTAACTCTTTATGTTTAGGGAATAATGCATTTCAATCATATATATATATATATATATATATATATATATATATATATATATATATATATTCCTTCTGTCACAATTCCGTGTCCAGTATAACATCATGACATAAACTGGGACGGAGGGAGTATTATCGTACCATTGACCTCTACTAAGGTTCGATCTTCGTATTACTAAGTCAAGAATCTGGTATGTATCTTGAATGTGACAGGGGTGGACCTAAATTGTGGATCTTGGCTGAGTAAATACACTCAAGGTGCTGTTAACCAAAAACTTGTGAATGAATCAGTTATTGACAGAGCTATCTCAAACAACTTTGCAACACTAATGAGACTTGGATTCTTTGATGGTAATCCAAGAAAACACATTTATGGAAACCTTGGCCCCAAAGATGTCTGCACACCGGAAAACCAAGAGCTTGCTCGTGAAGCTGCAAGGCAAGGGATTGTCTTGCTGAAAAACGCTGCAGGATCGCTACCTTTAACTCCCTCCGCCATCAAGTCCTTAGCGGTCATTGGTCCTAATGCCAATGTAACCAAAACCATGATTGGCAATTATGAAGGTACATTGACATATCAGACTTGCTATGAAGAGTTACTCACCTGTTATTATAGGTCAATAACTTGATGCTATAAATATTCTGTCGGTGCACAGAACTTAAACTCTTCCTAAGTCTTGTTTTTTCTCAATCATTTCCGACTTTTGCAGGCACTCCATGCAAGTACACAACTCCCTTGCAAGGCCTAACAGCCTCAGTTGCCACAATTTACAAGCCTGGATGTTCTGATGTGTCTTGCAACACTGCCCAACTTGACGATGCTAAGAAAATAGCATCCACAGCTGATGCTGTGGTCATGGTAATGGGATCTGATCAATCTATCGAAAGAGAAAGCCTGGACAGAGTTAATATAACGCTTCCTGGACAACAATCAGTTCTAATAGCAGAGGTTGCTAAAGTTGCCAAGGGTCCTGTAATTCTTGTTATCATGTCTGGAGGTGGCATGGACGTACAATTTGCAGTCGATAATCCTAAGATAACTAGCATTCTTTGGGTTGGTTTCCCTGGAGAAGCCGGTGGTGCTGCCTTAGCAGACGTCATATTTGGATATTACAATCCAAGTCTGTCTCTCATTTCCATTTTCAAGAAAGTTACATCAAATTAAGATCTCGATTTTCTCTATATTGACTAAATAGCTTAAATTATTGAATCTTGTAGGTGGAAGGCTACCAATGACATGGTATCCACAATCATATGCAGACGCGGTTCCAATGACTATTATGAACATGAGGCCTGATCCTGCCACAAACTACCCTGGCAGGACTTATAGGTTCTATACCGGTCCAACTGTTTTCACATTTGGTCATGGTCTAAGCTACTCTCAATTCAAACACCGCCTAGATCAAGCGCCAACATTTGTATCCATCCCTCTCGAGGAAAAACATACTTGTCGTTCAACAAAGTGCAAGTCTATTGATACTGTTGAGCAAAGTTGCAGCAACGTGGGATTTAATGTTCATCTTAGAGTTAAAAATATGGGAAAGATTAGTGGAAGCCATACAATTTTCTTATTCAATTCACCTCCCTCAGTCCATAATGCACCTCAGAAGCATTTGTTGGGGTTTAAGAAAGTCCATTTGACAGCACAAGAAGAAGGGGTTGTTAAGTTCAATGTAGATGTTTGCAAGCATTTGAGTGTACATGATGAGCTTGGAAAAAAGAAAGTTGCATTAGGACAACATGTTCTTCATATAGGAGATTTGAAACATTCCTTCACTGTGAGGATTTGAAGAGCTCGAGATAACTTCATTTTCTTTTTTCTCAAAAGAGAAATATGACAAGATGAAAAAATCTGAACATTGAATGAATTGAGACAACTGTAACAAGTTTCTTATCTTTTTGCCGATTTATCCATCTTAACTAGAAGAATCAAAATCTTGAAGTGAAATGAAGCTATCTACTAATTCTTGTATATTTCTTCCAGATATCATCTATGCTATTGTTACCTCATAAAGAGACTACTGCTCAAATACATTGATCATTTTAGCATTTAAACAAACTTTAGGAGGCAAAATAAATCTACACAGTATAGTTGCCCTCCAAAATAATTGTCACGACCCAAAATCTGCCTAGTCTTGATGATACCTAACACAACCCGCTAGGTAAGCCAAATAACAGTCAACACAACTCCTATGAAATTAATAAGTGAAATAACCTAATTTCTTCACAATACCAAAGGATTGGTCGTACAAGTCATGAGCCACTAAAATATAGATCTATAAAGCTAGCATGAAATAAATACAACATCTGTTTGGAATGTACATAAACAGATAACAATCTAAAACTACCAAAGACAAATGATAGCTATATCCGGAAAACCAAGTACATCTTCAGTGCCAGCTCCCGTCATCCACAGCATCTCAGCTCCAAAATAAAGGACTTACTACTTCGTTGAATCAGGCGTGCTATCTGAGGGTGATTAAATTCTCTAACTTGAGCTATCTGAGATGACTGATGAAATTTCTGACATGCTTGAGTTTTCTACTACCACTCAGCGTAATTCTGGTCAACCTCGTCGTTTTTATCAATTATCTTCAGATGATAGGCGTACAGTTCCTATTGTCGATAAAGGTTCTACAGCGGCGAAGAAGTCAGGTAGATACATGCCATCACTTCTTCTGGCACCAAGAATGGGAAACAACTCTATATCCTTGCAAGGTACAGAAATGTTAGAGATGTACGCAAAACGTAGCCATCTCCCTCCCTGAGCTAAGCTCTGAACGTAACCTTCTGCTATCTCAGGCTACTCAAGGAGTACCATCTCGGAGCCAACTACAACGGCTACTCAGAGCATAGGATTAACAATTTCAATATATGCGAGTTTGTAGGATGTACAAAAAGAGCTCGAGAGGAAACGAGTCTTTGTATTAGCCTATTGGGCATGGGGGCGGAAAGAGATGCCAGAAGCCTGACTGCAATAAATTAAAGGTGCAAAGAGGATGACTATATACTGTAAAGCGCATGGTGGATGGAGGAGGTGCTAGCACCTGGGATGCACTAAAAATGCGAAAAGGAGGACAAACTACTTCATAGCACACAGTGGTCGGAAATGATGTAGTTGTTTTTGGAAGTTGCACTACAGAAGCACGTGGTCGATCAGGCCTTTTGTTGGGGGGAAGAGATGCAAGGTAGAAGGATGCACTCGTAGTACTGAGGGCCAAGTTGTCTTATGCACATATCTAGGTGGTGGACGTTGTTGCCAATTCCTTAGTTGTTCAAAGAGTGCACAAGGAAACACCTTATTTTGCAAAGCCCATGGTGTCTCTTTGATGGTGGTGGGATATGCCCCAAGAGTGAACATGGAGGCACAAATTTTTGTGTTTCTCACAGGGGTAGGAAGAGGTCATGTGCTATCAAGATGCACTAAAAGGCAACAACTAAAAAGCAGCGACTCATTCTTCCTCCTTAGTAAACATGGACTCAGGTTCAATTCATTCACTCGATCGAGAAGCACGCTAAAAGGCAACGACTCATACCACTACAGGTATTGGTTCCCTTGTTGATGAAGGTTTCATCATCTACTTCCAGTCCCTTAGCTTGCATTCATAGAAGCAGGATGACAGACCCTCTTGCCTGGGAATTGAAAGAAACGAACATATAAAAGCTTTAAGTTCAGAAAAGATACCTTGAACTGTTTGTATCAAGACAAGTTTAATTGGAATGTTGGTTAAGCGCGGACTAATTTGTTCAGACAATCACATGCTTTCCAAAGTGAAGGATAATTACTTGAATAAAAGTCGTTGATATAATAACTGAATTTGGCTATAGCGTTATTACGTTTTAAATTTTAATTATTATTTTTTAAAAATTATTCACTATTTGAGTAGACGCTAAATAGGGAAGCTATTGCAGGTAACCGGAAAATGAAGACTCTGTTTTGGCGGTGTAGAAAACTGCTGACGGATCCTATAAATACAACGTCTTCTTCATAACCAAGAATTAGGGTTCATAAAATCACTATCAGTAGAACTCTTCTGCTTCTAAACCTAGACGAACTCTGAAAATACGCATCACAAACATTCTCTGAAGTTCAAAATACTCAGAAATCGCACGCATACGGTTTCGCATTCAAAGTTCGAAGAATATTCACGAATCTGCATGAATGAATTCACATCTCTTTGAGGTTCTCTTCTCAGTTGATTGAATTTATCGTTAATTTCCGCATTAATTTCTCATTTTCATATATGTTATCCGATTTTTGCGCCTCGATTCCGATTCAGTAAAGTTTGAACATTTTGTGAGAGGTCAAACTCAAATCTCGAAAGCGAGCGAACTGATTTTAGGTTTTAATATGTTCATTTGACATTCTATCTTGTTGTTAGTCAGTTAAATTTTTTGAATTTTATGTGCTTCTGAATTGTGATTGCTAGAATTTGGATGAACTTACGGTAGCAGTAATGATTAGGAAAACTCAGATCGTACGGAGGTTCTTTTCTTAATTAATCATACTTATCCTAAATTTCCGCATGAATTTATCATTCTCATGTATATTATCCGATATTCCGACTTGATTTCTTCTAACAATAAAGTTTGAAAATTTGGCGGGAGCTCATACTCAAAAATCGAGATCGAAAGTCAGAGCGATCAAACTTTAGTGTAAAGATGTTTAATTAATACTATTCGATTTAAATTAGGGTTTCTTTTTGATTTTGTTTGTGATTGCAGAAGAATTCGAAGAAAGCATGGATTTCTTTTACGGTGACAGTAACGATTCGCAAGCTTCCAAAGTCCAGTCCTTGGATGTTTCACCAATCAACTCTCAAAACTTCATAGGCCGTGGCCGTTTTTATCCTGGACCAAAAACTCGGATCCTCGATCCTTACGCTTCTTCAGATAGTTCTGGTAGTTCTGCCAATAGAATACTCTCTCCGCTAGCCCGATACCTCCATTCCAGATCGCCGGTGCCGTTTGCCAGCGATTCGCCGGAGCGTCGTTCTCTGATCAATACTAGCAGCAGAAGCGGTTCCGGCGGCGGGGGCGGCGTTTTCCGTTCGCCTCTAGCTTTGATTGAGAACATCGAGATTCCGCCAGCGTTCAGGACTCCGGTGAAAGTCGAAGAGGATGTAGTAGTCATGGACGGCATTCTCGTTGAGCCGAAACATGGCGCAAGAGCTAAATCTTTGCCGTCAACGTCAGATTCCGGCGGAAGATTGTCGTCGTCAACATCAGGAAGTGATAATAGCTCTCACAAGTCTGAAGTTTGTCGGTGGTGGGGGGATTCGGGCAAGTGCCGCTTTGGTTCCAAATGCCGGGTCTCTCTCTTCTCTTTCGTCTCTCTCTTTCTCAAAGGAATATGATCCAATGCTTCTTGAATATTCTTGCGCTCATTGCACGGTTGAGATCAACTTTCTTGTTTTGACAATGATCTCAACCACAAATTTTCTCATTAGTCAACTTTACTAAAATCCACAACTCTAAAAACATTTATGTTTTAATTAAACAGTTTGTACACGGAAAAGAAGATTTGCGCCCAACTGCCTTCGCCAACAGGAATCAATCTGAGGTATTAACAATTTAACTTAATGTATTTACTGCTAAATTTAAATTAAAGTTCATTGTGAAAAATCATTGTGATCATCTTCCCATGGTTATGCTTGTAGGCACCGAGCAGCAGGTCATACAGTTCAGGATCATGTGCATATGGACCGAGGGGCCGATCTGCTCATCACCAGGCCCACTCAGCCGCGTCTTCAACAGAATCAGCAGCAATGGCCACGCCTACTACTGTCAAAAAAGTCGTGTCAACTAAAGACAAAGAGCCCCCAAGCAGCGACAGTAGCCCCAGTTCCACCACCTCCACAATTGCTATCTCTGGCACTGACTGGTCTCCCTTGGATGATAATATCGAAGTTTCTTTGCCTTGTGGTGAAAAATGTCCTTCTAGGGAAGATGTTGATGCTCATATACAGACTGTTCTCTATGGTCTTTCTGGAAGGAAGAGATTGCCGGTATGTGTTGAATTTTCTGAGGAGTAGCTGTGCCATATTCCCAAGTCTCTCTTCTTGCCATCAACTACCAATAAGGTAATCAAGAGCTGTTAGTTACTTCCTTGTGTTCAAAAGGATTGTAACTGCTTTTGTTTCATTGCAGATTTGACAACTTCAGGAGTACTATCATAACAAAGACAATATACTGTCAAATAATATCTAGGATATGAATGGACAATTGGACATGGATCATACAACATAGAATTGCTTAGTGTTTTTGGCTGATACAGAATCAAACTGGGAACATACTAATAGCTGGTATGAAGGTTTGCAGGGGTCTTGCCCCAAATGATCTCAGTTTACCAAAATCAAGATGTTCAATATTCTTGTTTGTAAATTTGCTTCCTGAATGTTGAGCTTTTGTATAAAAAAATCAACATAACATCACCTACATATTGCAGCTGATAGTCCCTGAATACTCTGAGAACTGTTTGCTTAAGGCAATTAGGTTCAACTTTACCAATCAATCAAAGTGAGAGGTACTAAATTTGCCTTGATCCTTGCCATGATTGTTTTTAGGTATAACTTCGCAATTGTACAGTTTCTTTTGTTTTGCTAGTATTTTTCATTTCACCCAGTAAATAGGTGAGAGAAGTAACTTGTTCGAGGTACAGGATAACACTAGGACTGAAATTCGTAATAAATCATTCAAATTTTGACGTCTTGGCTATAAAAGAGAGTACATGGATTTAAATTCTATTCGAATTGTGACAGCTTGACCATTTAAATGTCTTAGCAGAAACTTATCGTGCTAGTGTTTGAGAAACAGTATAAGGTTCACCCCTTGTAGCTCTAAATTTGTAAAGTGTGTTAATAAAATCAAATTTCCTTTGTTTTAGTAGCTCAAGCCGCTAGTTTTACAAAGAAATGCTGGTCGTCCTTAAGGTGTGTTAGCCACAAAACAGTTCTGAAAGTTAACATTTACTTATAGGGAAAAAGAGGATCAGATTATATGTGTTTGCCTTGGTTTTAGTCAATCTATGAATCAGGCATTTGAATTTCACTGTTGTGCGTAGCAAGTTAACGTATCCTTTTAAGGAATATCATTCTCATCTGTTTAATAATTTGTGATGAACCTGAATCTCCACTCACATCTACCAATTAGATTAGTTGGCTCAACAAATTTTTACCGTGATGGGGTGATTGCAAGTGGGGAAGGAAGTCTGGACGTTGGTTTTCGCCAGTGCCGGGTGGTAGGAGAAAGAGGAGTTGATGTTTTTATTTTCCCATTTTTCTCTGCGTCGAGATTTCTAAATTTAATCGACGAAAATAACCTGAATTTTTACCACCGTAAAATGGCATGGCAGTTTATGTCACCAAATTGGCTGAAATGATTTTTTTGAGGTTCAGGCAACTACATAACAATAGAATGATTTAGTAGCTGCATACCATAATTTAAAGGAAAACATTTGATGTTTAGAAGATATGAGGATCTCCAGTACCCAATTGCTAATACTTATTACTAATGTTTAGACTAAGGGGTGGTTTGGTAGAGTGTATAAGAATAATGTTGAATATGGTGTATTAGTAATGCTGGTATTATTTATGCTTGCATTAGTTATGCTGACATATTTTTTATTCATTGTTTGGTTTGATATATTAAAATATTACACAATTCTTAAAAGGATTGTTTGTCTGCAAAAGTACCCTCATAACTAGTTCATCACTTTATCTTTTTAAATGAAACATATGTTGAGGAATGTATTTATATGAAAAAGGTTTAAAAATATTATTTGATTTGTTTACCTATACTGGAATATAGAACTTAATATTTATTTATAAAGTAAATATGCTAAGTATTTATTTATTTACTAGGGATATAATTTTATTTCTCACTTTCTTGGATTATTTCAAACTTGCATTAATATAATAGCATATTTTAATCAAGCATAAATTTTGAAGGACAATTTTGTCTTTAACTAAGCTAATGCGTGCACTAAAACCCATTGCATTGTTAATACCATAGTTTCTTGTGCATTAGTTATGCATAAGATAATACCAAATAGAGTGTATAACCAATGCTTGCATAACTAATACATAAGTTCAAAAAGTGTACCAAACAAAGTATTACTAATACACAAAGCTAATGCAAGCATTACTTAACCTAATGCATCCTACCAAACGACCCCTAAGATTAAGGATTCATTGCTCTGGTTTAAGCTGAACGCCTATTTTTTTCCTCTCCTTTTTCTTTTCCCTTTTTGAATTCTAATGGGAGGAGTGGGCTCATGAATACAGAGGCAGATCTAAGATTTTTATAACATGGGTGCACCACTAAAGAAAGGAGAACAAAAAATAAATTCCATGGAAATTGATCCTTGCTCCTCTAGGTAAATAACTCAATACTTAACCATGTGCACCGTTTAACCTCTTTAGAGCATGGGTGCCCACCAGACAATATTAGATCAATTCTAGAAAATATGTACATAAAATATCTAGTTTGACCGAAAGACCATGAGTTCAAGTGCCCCATAAAATAGGCTATAAATCCGCCCATGCATGAATAGAGAAACACTATAGTAGAAAGGCATATTAGGACCTTTTCCGAAAAAAGGTCCAAATAAGCCTTTCTACTATCCGAAATTGAGCACATTTGTCCTTCGTTAATACTTTAGCCCATATATGCCCTTATCGTCACATAGTTGGTCCATATATGCCCTTTTCGAAACGGATTCCACCCAAACGAATTAATTCTTTCTTTAATTGTATTAAAGTGTATTACAAACAGTATTTCCTTTTTATTAGTACTTTTTTTCTTTGCCTTTCTCTTTTCTTTCTTCTATTCTTTTTTCTTTTTCTTTCTCCCATATCCGATTTCCTCCATTGTTGATGCCTTCTCCATTTTCGTCACCAATATCACTTGACAAAACTCATGAATTCCTGCTAATTTTACTATCACAAACCCCACCGGTTCATCTGATTTGAAGGGGATAAAATTAGTAGGAGAAATTTTTCGATGGTATTAATTGGATGAAGGTAGGATATGGTTATTCAGATTTTGAAGGTCTTGTTCCCTTCAAATCTGACCTTCAAAATCTGAAGCTCCACAGTGAACAACACCTTCAAAATCTGAATAACCATATCCTACCTTCACCAAATTAACACCACCGAAAAATTTTCCCGATAATTTTCATCACCTTTTTTTCAAAAGAATCAAAGCCTTCTCGTTGGGAAGCTTTTGGTGGTGTAGGTTTGATTTTTAAGAATAAAATCACGTGAAATTGGTGACGGAAATCGGATATGGGGAAAGAAAAAGGAAAAAAAAACATAAGAAAAGAAAAGAAGAAAGAAAAGAGAAAGGTAAAGGAAAAAACATAAGAAAAGAAAAAAGAAGAAAGAAAAGAGAAAGGTAAGAAAAAAATACGAAAAAAAAGTGCTAATAATAAAGGAATAGTGTTTGTAATACACTTTAATACAATTAAAGAAACTGCTAATTAGTTTGGGTGGATTCCGTTTCGAAAAGGACATATACGCACCAACTATGTGACGGTAAGGGCATATATGGACCAACTACGTAACGGTAAGGGCATATACGGGCTAAAGTATTAACGAAAGACAAATGTGCTCAATTTCGTATAGTACAAAGGCATATTTGGACCTTTTCCGTTCTTAAAATTTGAATATTACATTTAATTAATGTAAAGAGCGGAGTTACAATTATTAGACTGTAATCCTAATTCTTGAAATTTCTCTTTTTTATGGTTTGTAAAGTTATGATAATTGAGACGGAGACGAGTGTTACCTCCTCAAGGAAAAGAAAATGAAGAGAATAGCAAGATGTCAATATGTCCTCGTCGCATACGAAAGACAAATCTAAAAGAACTACAACCACCAAAACATCAGAATCAATAGAAAAGCATGGCAATGGAGGATGGCAAAGTTTTATTTACTCAAAAACCAATTCGCTACCAAAGTAAGAACCCCACAATAGGGGTATCTTCTATACATGGCATGCCTCACCAATTTCCGGTTTGAACGTGCCTATACTATAAAAAGTTCAGGTGCAAGATTCCTATTATTTTAATTATATACTACCACTATCTAGTTCTAGTATTCACTACTTTATAATACTGTTTGATGCAAAAAATTTCAAATAAGATCCCTAATACTTAATAGTCAATCATATCAAGCTACAACAGATTTATTACTTACCAAATCGATCACAGTTACGGTGAAGGTGCTTAGATGATGAGATCTCAGGTCCAACCTTCCATTGCAGTGTACTATTGTGTTTAAAATTTTCTTACCAGAGTGTGCTAAATGGTGTTTTAGTTTGTATTAGCTACTAGCTAGTGTTGTATGCAAAATTTTCTTACCAGAGTGTGCTAAATGGTGTTTTAAAATTTGTAGGCTTGATAAGTTTCTAACCAAATGGAATAGCTATGTATACATAGTTACATACATACATATATATCATGATAGAAATGATAATTTATGTGCTAAAACAAACTTTGAGATTAGGTTGCAACTTCACTCTACGTCACTTAGGTTAGAACTTAGATGTAAAGTTAAAATCTTACTATGTGTTTTACATGAAGTAAAAGAGAAAAAGAGTGATTTTTTTATTTACTTTTTTATTTATTGAATTTACTTAATAAAAATTCCATTAATTCCAGAATATGGTAATTATCTGATCAATGCATAATATGCCCACACCCCTCATTTATGCACGCATTTTCCAGAAAGCTTGGGACATCGATATGTTATAAACTTGGAATTCAACAGACATTAATTTTCTTCCCCAAAAAATCCTCTCTACTAGTTCCCTTGTCCTTGTCCATCGTTGTTCATGGATCCCTCACTGATCAGACCACCAATCCCACCGGAGCCCCCGGATAAGCACAGCCAAATGGAGGTAGAATTACCTCATCACTCCTATAAGGAAATGCTCTTGGACAAACCAGCGAGCAACCAAACTGATTACTATGAGATCGACCATCAACCAAATCCAGATCTTGACAAAGGGAAGCACATTGAGGGTTCAATTCCCCTTTCACAAGATGATAAAAAATGCCTTTACCTTCCATGGCGTTACTCGGTAATCATCAAAATTTACAAGCGAAAGATGCCTCACCATCTCCTTCGATCTAAACTAAATGAGCTATGGAAGCCACCCGAACAGTTAATCTTGATTGACCTAGGGTGGTACTTCTACATAGTTAAACTTAGTTTAGAAAAAAGTATGGTTAAGACTCTCCACCTTGGCCCCTGGTTCATCTCTGGAAATTTCCTATCTGTACGAAAATAGGAACCTAAATTTGTTCCTCAAGAAGCCACCCTTACTTTCTATTGCCATATGGATCCGGCTCCCTCAATTACCAAGAGAATTCTATGATCAGGACATCCTAGAGAAAGTTGGTAGGAAACTGGGCAAACTTCTCAAGATAGACCAATGTACATCCTCTACTCTAAGAGGAAGATATGCCCGTATTTGTATTCAAGTACCACTGAAAACCCCAGTAGAAACATCGGTAATAATAGGGGACCATAAACAGGTTGTGATCTACGAAAGAGAGGGGACTCTGTGCACCATGTGTGGCAGAATCGGGCACACTGCACAAATTTGCAATTACAGGGCACCCACACCCACAACAACCCATGAACCACAGGAAGCTCATCAAAGGAAAGCAGTCATATCGGAGGAAAGCGAGTGAAAAACTATTACCTTCCCAAGAAGATCCAAGCAGGGACTAGCAAAAACAACAAACAAAAATGATGGTAGAATGAACAAAACACAACATGCTCCACAGACGGACGAGATACAGGTAAATTTGTTTGATGCCAACTCAGGTAAATTTTTCTAAACTCAAACTCTGCGTTGCAATTCAAAAAAAGTCAATCCCACCCAAAATACCCAAAAAAGGCCCAATGGCCCAATGCATAACATAAGCCCCACTAACACACAAGGTCTGACCCAACAAGGTCAGAGAACAGGCACACGGGCCCAGTCCAGTACACGTGCCAAAAGGAAAGCGGGGCCAGCTACTGACGACCCTACCGACCTCAATCATGAACCCAGCGTTCAAGGGGCCTCTAGCCCAACTCCCAAGACCACACTTCTCAAGAGTGGCGAAATACCCAATGGGGCCGATCCCTTTTCCCCAAACGGGTACTTCATCAAGGGCACAACTGTCAGCCCAATTCCTCACCCAAACATACTCACCTACGCTTCCCCTACCAGCACTCCTGAAACGACCTCTAATGGAGAAATATCAGTAGTCATCAACAACAATCAAGTGCCCTATCTGGTAACCCCCCCCCCCCCATTTCCAAATGAAAAGACTACAATCGTCAGCTCCATTAGATCCCCAATTAATGACCATCCCAACCCCTAGTTCCGATATCCAGTAACCCTTCCACTGACCAAGATTTGACACCAAAAGGGGTTCTGATGGAACGACAATCCCTTAAGTTCACACCACTTGTTACCCAAAGTAGTAAAGCAAAGAAACACAAAAATGGAAAACGAAATGCAACCAACCATCATCACCTCCCTACCACCACCACCGGACCACCAACCGGCCTCCTGGTTGGAGGTTGCTCTACAAGGCTAGGGACTCTCCTCCAATTTCACCCTGGGCAATCAGAAGGTGACCCTGATAGTGCAAAACCCAACCCACCTAGCCAGAGTCACGGTGGAAGCACTGAGCAAAGCACTGGCAGCCTTTGGACCTCTCCTATGGAAATCGATGGTCAACAGAGATAGCAACTCCCCATTAACGGACCATCAAGCTCTCAACAACCACATTCTACAGAGCTTCCAAACCCTACCTTTCTTCCCAGATCTGATGAAGGAGGATCCATCAGCGGAGCCAGTCTTTGTTATGATCGACCAACCAACTCAAAAAAAAAACCATCATCTTCTGCTCCAAAAGAGAAGAGAAATTCCCCACCTCTCCAGAACATCAAGAAAGGAATCTCCAAAGCGCTGGAGATCCTCACGAAGAAGAATGCCTCGGAGGAAGAGGGAACACCTTATGTCACACCACGACCGGACTCACTACTTCTGGACTCAGTGAGAGCGATAGAGTTCAGCACAGAAACCAGCGAGATAATAGTGGTACTATGCCCCAGAACAATGACCAAGTGTGGAATGAGCCTCGTCTCAACCTAAACACATAGTCCTATGAAACCCCTTCTCAACCTAACTCCAGTGCTGAGTCTCAAGAGGAAGTCCCCCCCCCCCCCCCAACCTCAAATGAAGGGTCTGCAAGGACCAAAGAGCCCTCAAGAGGGACCTCACCAACCACCCCCAACTCCGATGATGAATTACATCATATGGAATGTTAGGGGTGGAAACAATGCCGAGTTCAAGCGGCACTGTTTAGAAATGGTGAAAATACACAAGCCTGCCATGCTTGTCCTGCTTGAAACGAAGATGGCAGACCACCAGAATCTGGCTCAACAACTCCAATTCGATATGATCATTCAGTCTCCGGCAGTAGGGTTATCTGGGGGTATAGTGTTTATGTGGAAAGAGGAGTTTGTGGCAGTTGAAGAAGTGGCAACTACCCCTCAAGGCATCCATGCAATGGTTAAGGTAAGTACCAACCACCCTCCATGGCTCTTCTCTGCTATTTATGCTAGTAATCTCTTAGCAAATAGGAAAATCCTATAGGAGAACCTAATTACAATATCAAAAAACCTAAAAAACCAACCGGTTTATAGGAGGAGACTTCAATGAGGTCTTAAAGGCCAGGGAAAAATTTGGGGGCAATCCCATAAACCTGAGCCGCATCAACCTGTTTTGGAATTGTATAAATGAGTGTAACCTTCTAGACCTAGGCTATAAAGGAAGCAAATACACTTGGACTAATAAATGGTACAGTAACAAAACCTCTCTAATCCTGGAAAGAATAGATAGATGCTTCGCAAATGAAGGCTGGATTGAACAGTACCCTGAAGCTACTGTATTGCACCTTATAGGACCCACTCAGACCATTGCCCTTTATAAATTAACTTGGTAGGGCCTCCAAACAACAAACCATCAAGGCCCTTCATGTTCGAGTCAATGTGGGCTAACCACCCTTCTTTCCCTAACATTATTAATAGGGCCTTCTCAGACCATTCCACCCTTCTTCAATCCACTGAAAACTTCAAGACTCTGGTCACCAAGTGGAACCAGGAAGTCTTTGGAAACATGTTCCATCAAAAGAGGAGAATCCTAGCAAGAATCTCTGGAATCCAAAGATCTCCTAGCTACCAATTCAGCAGTTACCTGTTACACCTTGAAACAAATTTAACTGCTGAACTCAACTTAATCCTCAAAAATGAAGAAGTCTTTTGGAAACTTAACTCAAGGATTAACTGGCTAAATGAGGGTGATGCTAGCACTAGATTCTTTCACACATCCACCCTCAATAGAAGAAGGAGGAACAAAATCATCTCTCTTAAAGAGGAGAATGGAAACTGGCTACATGACCAGAATGACATTCATACAGCAATTGTGGGCTTCTTCACTAATCTATTCACCGCATCCCACACTAAAGCCCCTTGGGCTTTCACAAGCCACTCCACCATGTCACCCATTCTGTTTGCAGGCCAAAGAGCTTTTATAGACAAACCTCTTCATGTGAGTGAGATTAAAAGGGTAGTCTTCTCCCATACACCCTTCAAATCTCCTGGCCCTAGGCCTCCACCCCTTCTTCTACCAAAAGTATTGGGACATAGTAGGGGACTCTGTCAAAAATGCTTCTCTACAAGCTCTATGGATAGCACCATGAACCAAACTCTCTTGTGCCTAATCCTTAAATGCCCCAAGCTTCAATGCTAAAATTTTTTAGGCCAATAGGACTTTGTAACACCATTTACAAGTCAGTCACAAAAATCATTGTGAACAGGATAAAGCCTATTCTGCCCCATATCATTGTCCAAGCCAAGCAAGCTTCCTTTCTAATAGGAGAGCCTGTGATAATTCCATCATTGTCCAAGAATATATCACACACTTCAGAAAAATGAGGGGGAAAAGTGGCAACATGATCCTAAAAATAGACCTAGAGAAGGCCTTTAATAGGCTAAAATGGTTCTTTATTAGAGACACTCTAGTTGCTTTCAATTTTCCCCAGGCTTATCTAAGCTCATCGTGTCCTGCATCAGTACATCATCCATTTCCATTCTTGTCAATGGGGGAAAACAGAGTCTTTCAAACCTTCAAGAGGCATTAGGCAGGGAGAATGTCTCCCTACCTATTCATTATGTGCATGGAAAGACTATCAAGATCTATTGATAATGCAGTCCTACATGACAATGGCATCCTATAAGTATAAGTAGGTCTAGACCAAAAATATCCCACCTCTTCTTTGCGGATGACCTAACCCTCTTTGCTAAAGCCAATGACAGGAACTGCAATACCATTCTTTTAATATTGCAGAACTTTAATGAGCAGTCAGGACAGAAAATCAACCTCACCAAATCAAGAGTCCTGTTTTCTTCAAACATTCCACAGGATGCCATACAAAACCTCTCCAACTATTTGTCCATCAGGCATACAACATCCTTTGGGAAATACCTTGGATTCCCCATTCCTCATAAAAAACAAACATCTCCAGATTTCAATTCATCATTGATAATATGCAATCCAAGCTGGCTGGTTGGAAAACCAAATACCTCATGGCTGGGAGAACAGTCCTGGCTAAAACTTCTTTGAACAGCATTCCAAGCCATGTTATGCAATACATCAAACTGCCCACTAGAATTATCAATTAGATTGATAAAATACAAAGAGACTTTCTTTAGGGCACCACCCCTGAAAGGAAGAAGTTACATCTGATCAAGTGGGAGGTGGTCACTAAGACCAAGGCTGATGGGGGGCTAAGGCTCCAAAAGGCTAGTATCAAGAACAAAGCTTCCCTCACAAATCTTGCATGGAGGACCTATAAGAATACCAATAGTCTATGGGCTAGAGTTCTAATTCACAAACATTGCAACATGTCTAATAATGCTAGGTTAGTTAGGGCCTTTAGATACCCTAGACACCCAAAATCTCCAATCTGGCGGGGCATCCTAAAGGGCTGGGAAATTTGCAATAAAGCAAGCAGAGGGTGGTCCACAAAGGAAATAGGGTCAGTTTCTTAAATGATACATGGATCCCTAATCAGCCAGCAATCAGACAGATGATTGAGGGCCCATTAATCCAAAATGACCTAGATGCTAAGGTTAGCTCAATCCACAACCTGGGCAATTGGGACACATCATCTTTGTCCATTACCTTACCTCCAAGTATTATGAACCTATTGAACTCTGTGTTCATTCCTCCCGTTACAACTAAGGATGACAATCTTATATGGGATTTGACTCCTAATGTCTAGTTCTCAAATAGCTCTGCTTACTCATTCCTAAGCAGGACTGACACCAGCCTCCACTCTGGTGAGGAAGGCTCCTTCAAATGGATCTGGAAGCTACAAGCCCCCAACAAAATCAAGTACTTCATCTGGCTCCTCACCCATAAGAGGATCCCAACTAGGAGCTTCCTCCACTCTATAGGGATCAACTGTGTACCACAATGTCCTTATTGTAACAATGGACAAGAAACCATTGCCCATATTTTCTTTGAATGCCCTAATGCTGTCCATTTCTGGAATGAAATTCTATCAAAATCTTAAAGGAATGGTTCACATAATGCTCCAGTTTTCACTGGCCATCAGTGGCAATCAAC